GTCATACTGTTATTAAGGGTGTTAAATAAGTAAACTATATTTGTATGTGTGGGGGTGGTTTGATAAAAATAGCAGCCACTAGCCACTTTTATGTGATGCAAACTTTATGACATTGTCTTGAAATTACACCTATAGTGATTGAAACGAAACAATATATCATATAAGGTTAGTGTATGATAGTTTTTTTCGATTCGGTGTTCGAAATTTGTATTGGAGTCCTGATTATATGCACATCGAGCACTGCAAGGTTCATTGGGGATGACGCTCCTAACTGGATTTTCTCCATATTCAAAGCTCGAACCCGTCTTATTAAGGGTGAAGTAGTCCCACCACTGCATCATAATCTATGTTAGTCTATTCGGTGTTCGTAGATCGTGAGTCTCGATTATATTTAAATTATGCACTCAAGGGTCATTTAGAGGTTGACACTTCTAACATGATTTACTCTATATTCAGAGCTTGAACCCTTCTTATTAAGGATGAAAAAATTTCACCGCTGCATTATAATCCATGTTAATGTTTTATAATGTTATTTATACATTTTATTGTAGTTATATTGGCTTATGATGTAACATAATTATATGCAAATTCATGTAGAGTATATATATAAATGAATGGTACTTTTTTTTGTACCAATTTCCGGACATATATTGTCCTTGAAAGTAATCTATTTTCTATATATAAAATGCAAACAAAGAGTGAGAAATATCCACAACTTGACTTGACTCAATTAAAATCTTTAAAGTCATACATTATTATGATTATGATGTGATCCTAAAAAGAAGAAAAGAAATTAAAAAGTAGACAACAAAATAACAAATTGATGACATAGAGAACCATTACCTTAGTCAAATCACTATCAAATGCTTGGATATTTCCCCACTTTCCACTTGTATTTTTTTTTTACTGTCCATCAAAATTATCCATAATGGCATTTTTCCAAAAAGCAAAGATTTAAAATCAGGGATCTATTCATTTATTCAAAATTTTGTTTCATTTCATGTCAAGTCATGAGTTTGTATAGAATAAAGGAAATTGCTAAGAAGGTAAAAATGATAGGAACAATGCAAGGATATCTTGGTTAGAGAGCATTTAAATTAAATAAATTGTTATATATATATTTTTGACTTAATTAAACTAACCAGAAACTAGTAGTAACAAAAAGTATTTCAGAAAGTGTCTATTAACTTGGTTTTGTATAGATCTCATAAGATTAGGTCTTGATATTTAATTAATAACGTTAATAAGTCACTTTCCATGATTAATTACGTCGATTGCAATGGTACTCTTTAAACATGTGTCTCTCACCACAAATCTAGAATTTCTACTTATAATGAAATTTCGAATTATTCACAATATATACCACTTCATTATATATTTTTAAAAATTAAAATATATACCTATAATATGTTCACATACGTTTATTCTGAATTCACCGACTCTAGAATTTAAATTTGAGTATTGCTTGTGACAAGACAAGTGTGGATAGATATGTCGCCGAAAACTTGGGCTTTTTCATTGCTCCAATATGCCATATGAATCAATTATTCTTAACTTTGTTTCCTCTTTGTATTTTTGCCTTTCACTTTCATTGATGGACAGATTGTGACTACTATACCCTTCTAAATTATTTATTTTTAATTATTTCTGTTTTGACAATATTTGTGCTTTCTTTTCCTCTTACGAATGACTCAAATTATTTTCTCATAAATTTTAATATCAAATTATTAATTCAAAATCAAATGTCATAACAATACTTTGATTAACTATAACCTGTAGCAAACTGTTTCCATTCGCCTCTTTCTCTAGTTTTCTCGCTCGCAAGTCTCTCTCGCCTCTCTCGCTTTTATATAAACATAAATGTATAAAATACGTTTGTGTTGGTATAAAGTGAGAGAAAATCATATGCATACATATATTTTCATTTCCCACTTCAAGATCTTGTTCGCCTCTCTCACTTTTTACAAACACAAATGTACACATTGCGTTTGTGTTTCAATAGAGTGAGAGAAAATTGTACATACAAATACAAATACATATATTTTCTCTGTCCAGTTTTCTTTTGTCTTTCTTTTCTCGCTTTACACAAACACATATTTTACAATGGATTCCTTAATATATATATATATGTATAGCGAAATATACATATTAATAGTCATATCAAACCTAACACAATTATTCAAATTTTAGCTACAACACAAATATAATTTTTATATTTACTATATGAGAATAATATTGCGTAATATTGTTTACATTATTCTTGTCAGATTTGCAACGAACTTGGAAATTTCATTAAAATATATTTCTATATATATATATATTTATATATAAATATAGTTTTTTAATATATGTACTTCGTACAATTTTTTAACAATAAATATATATTTGACTGTCTTGTGTTATATGTTATTATGTTATTGTAAAATTACATCGAATATATCACTATCAACGGTGAATGAGGGTTCTCATTTTATTTTTGTCTTTGGTTTATTTGAGGGATTTTAGTGGTGTGGGTCGAAGAGCTGTTGTTTTATCCTCTTACTGTAGTATTGTCGGTCAAGTGCTCCAAATATAAGGGACACTGTTCATGCATTATTACTGTTGACACTGAAAAATGAAACAAAAAAAAATATTACAATAAAATAAAGCTAAGGGGCTGTCTAATTATTCTGTTACTCTATAGTATTTATAATTATAATAATAATTACAGCTGTCAGCCTTACAAGTTTCCACTTTCTCAAAAGGGAAAGTTTTTACATTTGGAGGAAACAAAGTTACTGAATGCAGTCAATTATTCTTTTCAACTTTTTTTCTTTTTCATTATATTCATGTGGAGTTCATACAGTATAATATGCACATATTTACCATAAAAAGATTAAAAAGTTCAATAGTAAAGATGTAGAATCTAGTTTGGGATAATAATATTTAGAGGAAATTACATAACAAGCAAACATGTAAATTCACTACGAAATTTGTGAGCAATGCTATATTATCTATGCGACGTGAAATTTTTTTGTTGTTTAGTTGAAAATTTTTATACAATCTTAAGTTTTTTCGATTCTAGTGTTATTCTACCTAAGAGATGAAAATAATCCAAAGTTTTTATGGACATAAGAAAAGATATGATATCCAGCGTATCAAACGATCCTAATAGTTATTTTTGGGGAGTTAGGGAAATTTATTTGGTCAAGCTTTGCCACCAAAATCAGGTTTGACAAGATGAAAAATAAATTATCTCTATTTTAGTATTTTTTTTAAAAAAAAAAGGCTAGCAAATCACAATTTACTGTTTTAATATTATCGAACAAACTTCTAAAAAATGATAAACAAAATATGAATAATTGCTCTCAAAAAGTTTAATTTTTTTTGAAAAAAAACTTAGTAACGAAAAATCTCCTTTGAAAGATAAAGATTTTGAAAGGTTACTAAAGAGGTTGTTAGATTGTAATTATGATTATAAATAATAACAAGTATCAAAATGTCAATAGATAATTAATCAAAAGCTTAATAGAGGGGTCCTAAACACCGAAAAAAAAAACCTTTGTAAGAAAGTTTTCCTAAATAGGAAAGAAATAATTAATATAATGAATAATTATAATAGAGTTTTTGTGGGTGGGGGACGTTATAATGGTTATGGACTAGGTTTAGTTGAAGGGCATAGTAGGTTAAATAAAAAATTAATAAAAATTATAGCACTATGGAGGACCTTGATTGTGGCCATAAAATCACATGCTAGCATCAATAAAATGAGTTTGTCCCTCACTTTTGGAGGTTAGGATTAGAAGGGGAAATATTATATATCATATTATATTGTTGGTGTTGAATTCAAGTCCCCTAATATTGTTCAATTATTATTGCCTAGCTAGCATATAGGAGAGGATGCACTTTTTTTTTTTGGATATTTATAAAAGAGTTCGAAGCAGATATAGAGAATCATAATATCTTTGTATATCAATGTACATATTAATCATCTACTAAATATAGGTCCAATGGTAAATCATTTAGTATAGGTTAACTTGAGATACAAGAATTTGAATGAGGTCGAGAAACTTTAACTATTTTGGGAAGTTAAATAAACGCTTTTGAACAAAATTTAATTTAATTTTTCAGATTCGAACCTGAATATGTTATTTAGAATGTATTAATTTGGTTAGAGGATAAACATTAATTTAAAGCACAAAACATGACAAGATAGATTAGAAAGTTGGAATACTTTTTATATATTTTTTTTCTTTCTCTAATGTTGAAATAATAATAATAGTTAGTGGTACGTACTAATTATATATTATTATTATTATTAAGAATAAAGAAGATGACACTAGTTATGATTCCCAAAGCATTGAAAGGTCCATCCTTAATCACAAAGGTTAGATTCCCCACTTTCCATAGTAAAATCTTGTTTATGCTCCCTAATCTAAACACAAATAGTAAACTAGTGATGAAGACAATAGGTGTTTAAACTTTAAAGTCCAATCCAAATTGATTGGTTCATGGAGATTAAACCTTTTAGCCCATCCTTTCTTGTCCCCTCTTTAGCCCAACAAATTGGGCCCATTTGTTAAACAAACACACTTGACCACCAAAAGTACTCTAAAAAGTATCCAACTTTTTTAATTTTTTAACAAAATTTATCATGGAAAAAAGTGAAAGACTTGAATTGAAAATATAGAAAGGAAAAAGGGGGCAAATACTTGTGCTCACTTATTATTATTAATAATTAACTATGGTTTTAAAGAGAGTTGGTTTAGGGTAGAGATTAAGATTTAGCAAATGGTAATGTGGGGAACATATTCATGCAGAAATTGAATTGTAAGCTAAACTACAAGTCTACAAGAGAGTAAAGTACTCAATTAAACAGAGTTAAATAAGTGGTTAACAACCAACCCGATATAATTTTGTACGTAAATTTTATTCCTATCTTTCAAAGACAGATATACAATTTTTGATAGACCCTTTGACATCTATAATTACGCTTTAGTTTTTAATGATGTGGATTGACAAAAAATTTGGAACATTTCTCGAGTTATCCATGTCATCCTTACACATGGGTCATCACAATCTTTTTCATATCGTTCAAATTTTATCAGATCTCCTTGAAAGGATAAGTCATATATACAATTAGCGTAAGAAAATTTCATCTGAGGTGAATAAAAGAACCTTATCGACCCGACATTGTGGAGTTCGATTCGACCCTTGTTTGAAACGAAGAATCTTTTTTCTTTTTCATATTATAAAGGACTTATATGTAGATATATTTTAAGTGATCTGATAATATATACCAACAAATTAATATTAGGCAAGACATAGGTAGATAGTTAAGTATTATCAAGGGCGGACTTACCTTGTCCATGTGGTGTGAAGCGATACTCCTTTGCTGAAAAAATTGAAATCAAGCTTTGATTTAATAAATATATTGACCACACCTCTTATCACAAGTGAAAGTTTTAATCTAGTCATTAAGATGTTGTAAAAATTCTTTAAGATTGTGTATTTCTGAGAATCCTGAATCCGCCACTAAATATTATCTAACTGTTTTATTTCTCTGTGTTGATCAATGAGATAAATTAAACAGATACTCCATTACAGATAGTTGCAAAAGAGAAAAAAAAATAGTGGGCCAATTGTTAATTTGGGCGTTGTTGGATTGTCTGGATAGTGGTTCTCAAAGTATGGAGGGATATGTATAACAACACTTTGTCCCTCTTCTTTTATTTCATTCACAATATATAGTATTATAGTTATTGCATACACAATATCTATTTATATGTTATTGGAAAATAATTGTACACCTTGTCTTCATTTCCTAATTTAGATGAATGTTGGAGGAAAAACATAGGGAGTATTATTGTCTCCACTACCCAATTTACAAGTGCAATTTGAAAAAAAAAGAAAAGGGGGGGGGGGGGGTTAGGAATTGTTATAATATGTCTTCTTATGAAAAACCTATGTCTCTTGTCAAATGTTCAAACATTTATTTTAAAACTCGACTAATATATATGTCTGAAAAAGGAATCTCTTAGGTTCAACCCTTGAAATAGAGTGTATTCGTTTGAGCCCTGAATTTAAGAGATTTTTAATTCAAAGGCACATGAAGCCTGTTTAGTAGTTACAGATATGACAAAACTTTATAACTTTGGCTCAAATTCTATCTTTGTGTTAATATATTCTTTTAATATGTAACAAATAATATATTTAGTACCTAACAAAACAAAAATATTATAAATCTAAATCCATGACCTAGAAAACAACTATTTTTTTAATGGAAGTTGATATTATTATAGACTTATTTTCAAAGTGACTTTCGATGAACAATATAATTCTTTATATACTTTCACAACTCATAAAAAAGCTAGATTGATGCACATGACATTTCACATTCATGCAGAGTCTGTAAGACCACAATCCACACACAACCCTAATGTCAGCATTAATCGTTATTTTCACGCTGATATGATAATTTTACCGTTACTTCAAAAATCCTCTTCCGCCCTCACAACTCAGTAGTGATTAAAAAGATTTTGGTCACAACATCTGATGTGATGTAAATGTATGGGTTATTAGAATCTGGTCATTTGAAGGTTTTTGCCTTGTCATTTCCCATTCTATCTTTTCCAAACATAAGAATACTTTTTGCAAAATAGTTTGTACTTTTTTTTCTCTGGATTTTTTTGTAGACACGCACTAGAGGCTACAATTGTGTAATAAAGACCTCAAATTTTTGTCATAGTTAAAAAAATGTATATGGGCCCATATGGCCCATTTATGGTCAATCAAACAGCTGTATATCAGCCCAAATGAGGGCCCATAATATCCTATAGTTTTTCACGTGATAAAATCCATTTATCCCTTTAAAAAAGAATGGGGACTGGAGATGAAAGGGTACACGAATTCATCCAACAAATTTCAGATGGCCCATTGGAATATCCACATGATTGACCTAATAAAATTTGTTAAACAGGTTGTGTATACACAATCGTATTCCTATATTCAGAAAAAAGATGAAGAGATTGCTTCCAATCGATCTTCATCTCAAGTAAAACAGAATACAAATCAATCTTATGTAAGTATTAATAGATGTAGATTTATGTGAAGGTGTTTGATTAGATGCAAAAGAGAAAAAACAAAGAAAACACCATTATACCACGTGACCCAAACAAATCTTTGAAATTTCTAGGCATATAAATATAACGTTACATAATTCAGAACAACGATAGCGGTAATAGTGGTAGTAACAATGATAGTAGAATATAGTGTGATGTTTCTAGAAATGACACACTGAATAGTCCCCACAGTCCATTCCTAAAAAAGCTCAAAGTGGTTTCCAACAACACTAAATAGTGTTAATGGTGTAGATCAAGTTCCACCACAATAGAATGTTCAAGGCCTTCCACATTTTTTTTTTGGTCACTTCCATATATTGGACAAATCAACAAATCAATATACACAAATCCTCAACTTGTCTTTTCTTTTGCCTACATAATCTCACTTAAAATATTGTTTGAATATGTATATATGATCATATGCCAGAGTGAACATTTTAAAAGATATTGTGGCATGTGATATTCCATTTTTTCACAATTGATAAAGTCATCTTACTTTAACTCACTTGAAGAGGCATTATTTGGGTAATACATGTATATATAAGTCAAAATATATATATTTTTAAAAATATATAATTAAATGTTGAATACTCTAAATGAAATCTATAGTTTTTCCATAGAAGAGAGTCCTTTCACTCCACAATTTGGTACAAGGAGAAAATCATATCTGTATTGCGTACCGAAAAGATGTTATATTCATAAAGAGAAAACACGGTATACATAATTTCCAAAATGAAATTTTGTCGATGAAGAATAATTAAAATTTCTAAGTGTCAAATTGATGGTGGACCAAAATGATTCGTCTTATGAGTGGGGTATGGAGCCATGAGCCTACCAACGATTTGGAATTGTGCACTCCTTTTATAATAGACTCTTACTAGTAAATTAGAGGAACAATACCTAATTTCGAAAATGCTTCATCAACTTTTTAATTGATTTGAGCTCATGAAAAGCTGTACTAATTATAGCCCAGAACATTATAAAGGCCCAAGTAGTGCTATGTGAAATTTTAAGCCCATATATATATATATATAGTATAAATTATAGGAACCACATATTATAAATATAAAATGACCTTTTATCCCTTTTAGAATTGAAATTACTAAAAATCCCTTAAAATTCAAGGAAGCGGGATACATCCAAATAACACGGGATACATAAGTCCTGATACATCATATTTTGCATCTGCTGCTATTAATTAGGAGTAATTACCATGATTTTTGTTATTTGTAACTGAAATCACGTAATTAATGCTATATAGCTTGTGTAACTGATTAGTAAATTCAAATTTTAAATCAGATGATCTTCATAAATCAAAATTATTCTTGTAAAAGTTGATCTGCATACTAAGAAATAAAAAAAAAAGGTTTGAAGATGAATATCTCAATTCTGCTGCGGCATTCTGAAATTTGGGTAAGCGATGTTAATTATGAAGGTTACAAAGTTCATGGTATTGTTGTTGGCCATTCCATTTCATTTGTGAATCTGAAAACGTTGATTTTATCAAAGCTTGAGATCGACACTGTTACAAAGGATATTGAAATACGATACATTGTCGAGGGAAGCTCATGTCCATTGAAAATCAAAAACGACATGGGTGTGAAACTTTATTTCGAAGTTAAAAAGAATGCATCTGGAATCGGCATGTATCCGCTTTGTATTGATACAACTGATAAAATTTTATAAATAACTAGATTCAACAGTGATGCGTTTTCAATGTAATAGTAATGCTATATGAGTTTGTTTGTGTATGTGAAGTATCATATACATGCATATTATTGAAAATATGTTATATGTTACATGTAGATTGTCTTTTTAGTTATTCAAGTGTACAAAAAAATTGACTTGTTCAATTGTTTACTATATGATTCGTGTATACAGCCTTATGAGTTATAAATTTGATATATTATATTCAACAGTGTTGGGTTTCAATGTAACAGTAATTAAAGATGAGTTTATTTATGTATATTATGTATCAGATACATTCATGTGATTGAAAATATATTATATTTTTCGTGTATACTCCCTTATGAGTTATTCTAGTGTCCCAAAACTTGACTTGTTCAAATGTGTACTACATGTTTCGTGTTTACTGCCTTATGAACTATAATTTTGATGTATTACATTCTAGTGGTGCTTTGCACTGTAATATTAATCTGTGATTAGTTTGTTTATGTATATGATGTATCATATACATTCGTATAATTCAAGTTGCTAAATATGTAACTGCAATATTTGTACATGTATATATTATAACTTATGTATCATATACATCATTTTTATAAAGTGAAAAATACTTAAAACTCAAACAATAATGTATCATACACATTAGATCTTAAGTGTCATATACTTCATTTTGTAAATTAACTGTCAAAAATATTTAAACTAAAACAATAAAATTTTGTACCATAACGTTATAAAGCAACAACTGTGTCTAAAATAATAACTTGAAAACACATAACATTAATAACTAACAAACTATTGTAATACCAATAAGCTTTTAAAAAAACACAAAAGATAATTGTCTTCAACACAAAACAACATAAAAACTTGTTCATCCTGTCTCAGCTAATTACTAATCTATGTTAACAATGTCATGGTGTTGTGAATTACCATCTCCAGATTTACACTCTTCCATAATATTTGTAAACTCACACGATGAAGAGAAAGAAGGAGACTAAAATGTTTGCCCTTAAAAAATTTAGAAAATCTGGTTAGAAGGAGACTCCTACAAAATATCAAATAGATATGGCTGCAAATTTGTACTTGAATTCAAATTTTGTTAAACTGCAAACGTGTGGAATGGGGAATTCAAATTAGACAATTATACACCTAAAACGTAGGGAAATAAAAAAGGAATAAAAAATAATATGGTAAATTTTAATTGGGGTTGTTAATGGGGAAGTGGGTAGCTTGAAAATAGGATTTTGTTTTAGTAAAGTAAAACTTGCCAATTGGGTGAAAAAAGGGTGGAAAATCCTTATGTATCTTTCATATTTTTTT